GTCTGACCACACATTCAAACATTTCAAGACATTATTTAGCATAGTGTATTTTTATCATGCTATGATTGAATACAAGTTTGACTTCATTTTTTTTATGATGGTGGCGTTTACACCAGCGTGCGTGCACGTGCACCTTGAGCAGTGGCGGATTCAGAATTTAAACTTTATGAGTTCAATCTTTAAGGTTTTTAGCGTTGAACTCATTGTATTTTTAAGGTTATGAGTTCGGAGCTACTATTTATTGTAATTTTATTAGATTTTACATATAAACTTGTGCTCCGCGTCAAAAGTATTGGGTTCGATTGAACCCAGTACTAATATGTTACATCCGCCTTTGACCTTGAGTTCTGCCGAATACCAGCTTGGTACCTCCTACCAGTATCGGCATAAGGGTAACTCTACTCACTAAGGCTTAGGCAGGTGAAGAGAGATTGTCTAGTGTTTTTTCCCTCTATTTGTATTTGAATCCTAGTCTCCCACAGTTTTGATCCACTTTATTGACCGCTAGCCCACACCTTTGGATAACTGCCAAATTAATTAAGTATTTCTCTTTTGTAGTCTTTATGAAAGTGATTATGCTTTTTATTTTTTCCTGGTTTATTAATTATTTGTACTTTTATCTGGATAATGTATCGAAAGCTGTGGAAGGGGGTTCTGAAAATACTTTAAATGGTTTGATTTTTTTTTAATACCATTTTAGGTATTTGGTTTCCTTATCTTATATGGCGTTAGACTTTCTTTCTCTAATTTTCCTTTTGGATGCCTCTATCTTGCCTTTTTTGGCAAAGCTGTTTAACCATTTTTTTATCTGTTAATGTAGTTGTGGCTGGTGTGCTCAAGAATTGTAGTTAGATTTTATATGATATTCATTATTTCCAAATTAAGTATATTCAATGACAAGTTGAAGTTTCAAATACTATAATCTGATAATATTATCTCTTGTAATTGGAAATAAAACTAAGTTCTTTGTTGTTTGTTTTGTTGTACTTAATAATTATAAATGTTTTTTTTTTCAAAACAACTTTGTTTATGTATATATTGTATGAATAAGGCCTAGCCACTAATTCAAATAAGGTGACTAAAATTTAAAATTTTCTTTAGCAACTTTAGTTTGCTTCCTTCTCATATAATTATAATAGTTCAAATAACTTATAATCAATCATTCACTCTATTTATTAATTAGCGCATATTATAACTTATAATCAATCATTCAGTCTATTTATTAATTAGCGCATATTACTTTAATTATTAAGTGGTGGCAAATTCTGATAGTGACGCAAATTAAGACCTTCTTAGGGGATACTTTAGTATAAATTCCTGCTACTTCAAACTGACAGATATGATCAAATTGTGTTGCAAGTATTTTGCTTTCTTATTATTTACACACAGGGAAACATCAAATAGTGATGATTGAAGATTGAAATTTTCAACTCCAATATTATTGAGAAATTTAATTTAATCCTCCTAATTTTCTTGATGAACGAATAAACTCTAAATAATCTTTTTTTTAAATAACAACAATGCCCAAGTCATATTGAGAGGAATTTTTAACAGGGGTTGCCTCACAATTTTGATTAGTTTAGGAGATTAATTAGTTTCCTAAATAGTCAAACTCCATATGCATGAACCATGGCCTGCAAATCTTAAAATCCATAAATTAGTTTGTACTGAGATTTTCAATTGTCAGAAATTCCTGCAATTTCAACTGCTTTGAAGACTTGTTCAAAGAGTAAAGAAGAATCACTAAAAAAAATCCACTTTTCACGTACCATTTTGATGTAGAGATTTATATTTGTAATATTCTGACCATGAAACTAGTACGAGATTTGAATGAGTAACATTTTGAAAATTTTTGAACTAATTTGAGAGTCAAGAAAGCACTCATCAAAGTTATGTGGAAAATTTCTTGGAGAAGTGTTATGATTCAAAAATTTTATATGACTAGACATTCAACAGATATATGGCCATTTTCTCACTTCTTATTGCAATGATGTTCATTACGATTTTCTTCTTGACATTTAAAGTAAAAAGAAATATCCATTTTCCTATAATTGGAAAGAGCTTGTTATTTTCACTACAAAAGAGCACACTTATAATTTCTTTTTTTCTTTCCAATTAGGAGAGCAAGGATTTTTTCTTGTTTCTGGATTGAGGACTCACTATGGAATGAAGTGGACGTTTGGACATAAAAACTAGTATGATATTTCGGAAAAAAAATATTTTTTTTTTAAAGTTAAAAATGATATTTAAAAATTAGAGTTGTGTTTCGACATGAATACAATTTGGAGCTATTTTTGAATTTTTGTTAGTGTTTTGAAGTGAAAATTTTAATAAATAACTTTTTGTAGTTTTTCAAATTCCGAAAAAAATTCTGAAATTCAACTTCAAGTGAAAGTTGAAATTTTCATGGCCAAACACTAATTTCGAAAAAATGCGAAAAAATTCAAAAAAATGAATCTTTTTAATGCCAAAACGGGCCCGAAAAGTTCTACAATGATTCTCAACCTACTGCACCATGCACAACTAAAAAGATAGAAATTAGTGACAAACAAATTTTGTAGTTAAACAGTAAAATCTATTGCTAATCCTATTTAGTAACTGATTAGCGACGGATTATCAAGAATTTTTTAGCTACAAGCGATTTAGCGACGAAATTCGTAGCAAATTTCAGTTTTTTTACAGTGATGGTTTGGGACTGAAAATGTAATCAAACTCACACAGGCAAAGTTAACAGTTCCAATTAGATTGGGATTGAGACGTAGTTATTATTGTTGTTGTTACGGTCAGGATTGAGGCTGGAGAATTGTTGGAGTAGGAGGCTTCTATGTTTGGATTATCCATTAGGTAGGATAAGTTTAGATGCAATATTGAAATTAGTGAGAAAATAATAGAGATTAAGCAAGGATGTTTTTTTGATTATACCTAACAAAAGAAGCAACTAATAAATATTTAGTAACTAAGTTCCATGCTTAAGTGACAAGCAAAGCCTTAATCTAATATTACAAGATTTGTGAAGCCATAGAATAATGTCATAAAGATATAATCCAAACCAATCAACTTCCAAAGACAGAGAAGCAAGCTAAGTATAAACAAGTAGCCTATATTTTCAAAGGGAATGTTTAGATATTATCCCAAGGGAAACTCTCATATTTCTCAAAAGGAATTCTGAGAATTTTCCACGAGGAACATTTCCCTTTGAGTTTCATGGAGTTAGAACAAAAAAGTTATTAGCACTCAATTGCATGCATACCTAATCCATTGGAAATTCTCTCCCTTTTTGGACCCAAACCTTTTTTTGTATGTCCAATGATTGGTTTTTAAGAAGGAATTATTGGTAGGGGCACAATAGCTAGCTACAAAAGGTGGTGATGAATAAAACATTTTATATATTTGTATATTCCAACACCTATCCCCACCAAATGAACTTATTACAACAATCCCCTCTCTCTATCTTCAATATTGAGTACCTGCATAATTTAAAAATTCATAAAAAAATACAATAAGTACGCTTTAACTTCAAACAAATTGAGTTCGGTTATATGAATTCTCATTGGTCATGTCATGCCATTTATGCCAATCTATAGAATCAAGAATTTTCAAAAATATCGAACTTTTATAGTATCATAATTTTTTCTTGAATTTAAATTTAGATGACTAGCAATAATGTTATATAAATTCACAAAAAGTAATGATCAAAGTTGCACCTATTTGAAGGTCAAAACTCAAAAAAAAGAAGAGAAAAGAATAACTAGTTCTCAAAGAACTTACATAATGAAAAAGATCGTTAGACTACTTGTTGAACGTCTGATTATACCTTGCTCCGACCTGAACTATGCAACAACGAGATCTTACTTGATCCTTGCCTTATGTCGATCTTAGGCTGCAATCCCAAATGCTTATGTGTCCTTATTAATGAATATGGTAAATATTATGAGCCATTATCTAGTGTTGACACAAAATTTACCTCGAATCATGAGAAATAATATTCTCCAATAAACCAGCCTTAGATTTAATATCTAATATCTATCTCTTGTATATTCATTTTTTGGAGGGCAAACGCATTGTAGTCCACACAAGGGGCCCTAATTATCAATTATCAATAATACTAAAAATGGTAAAGTCCACTCTGCTATGGACTTTTGATCAAGGGAAGGTTGATGAAACAAATTTCTAATAAGGGAAAAGAATCTTGGTGTGGCATGGTTTTAGGTGATGACAGGGTTTAGATGTTGACCTATCAACAAAAAGGATAATACCAAACAAATCCATTTCAAACCCTTGATTAATTAATTATAGAACACAAGTTGCAGTGCCTTCTTCATTTAACAAGATTTGGTTTGATTAGCTAAAACCAAAAATTAAAATTTCCCCACCATTTTGTGAAGAAGGTAGAGGGATGCACTGAACAATTATCCACCAAGTTACGAACAATAAGTTACTGGCCTTATTCCCAACCGTTATGTTTTTGTAAAAAATAATTTTTAATCAAATGTTAAAAGAAAATCAGTTTTTTACAGGCTCAAACTTTTCACTTTTTTTTATTTATAACTTTTCACTTAAATTCACATTGGCCTTATGTTATATTGGAAGTCAATATGAACTACATTTAAAGCAAGGGAACAACTGTAAACCTTCTTCTCCAGCTTTATTATCATACTTTTATTGAAAGAAAACTTTGTCTCATTCTTATTCAAAATAATACAAACAGGTTTTGGTAGTAGAAAATATTTTATTCTTTTTTCTGTGGCTAGTACTTGCAACTCTGAAGGGTTCTAACAAAAGGGGCCAATAAGAAAACACAGGCGGTTAGAGAGAGAGAGTGGAGTTGGAGTCACTGATTCTAGTGGGTTCCTGCCAAAGTCCCCACCCCCATTTTCTTGTTTTTTTTTTCTTCATGTACAAAATATTAATTTTTTATATGAAATAAAATATTCTTATTATTTATGTTTTTTTTTCTAACCCCACAAAAGGCCTGAGAGAGAGAGGTTTGCAGCAGCAAGTACAAGAGATATTATTGTACCAATAGGTGAGTTTCAAAATTTGATACAATAATTACTTGTGTGATAACAACATCATAAAAAGGCAACACCCCTACCATCAAACAGAATAATCAGATAGTTTTCTTCTTGGAGAAGTAGAGAAAAAGAAAGCTGATTGTTTAGCTTTGCCATGTCCACAACAAGACAGATACAATAGCAACACAAACTTAGTAAAGAAAAAGACATGTTTTGAGAAATATACTTTAGACCCTCTTTTGGTGTGGCTTCATATAGCTACATATATATGCTTTGACAAGAAAGCTTTGATCTTTTTAGCTTCTTTCTTTACCCCCTTTAGCCTCTTGTTTCTGAAGAAGAGTTGCTCCTTAAAACTGAGGTGAAACAGGTAGTTTTCATGTTGTTGTTTTTTTCATTTTTTCTAAGCTATCATCTAATCTTGAAAAATTTTGTATTATCAAATGACATATTGTAGTTTTTTTTCTTTTGACCAGGAAGCTGAAGAATGGTCTGAAAAAAGTTTTTTGCATGGAGAGTCAAAGAATAGGAGAGAGTGGTAGTTTATCAGCTGAATCAGGACCTTCACACCACCATCACAATATGTCTTATGCATTTTTTCGTGGCCTAAATCCTCCTAATACAAGTTTCATGTATCATTCCACTCCAAAGTAAGGATTTTTTTTTGACTTCTTATCTTTCTTAAGCCGAGAGTCTATCGAAAACTGACTCACTAACTTTTTTAGACAGGGTAAAGCACGTGTATATTTGTTATTGTTGCCTCTTTGTATATGAGGATTTTTCTTGCAATTGTAATATGGGGTTTATTTTTATTTTTTTTTTTGATAATTCCTGTGTAGTAATCAAGAACCGCCAGCTTTTGATTTTGGGGAGTTGGAAGAAGCTATTGTATTGCAAGGAGTTAAGATGAGCAATGATGAAGCAGCTAAAGCATGTATGCTTTTTTTCTCTCTTTCTTTTGTTTTCTGACGTTTGCAAAGTGTAACCAACTCCTTATCCTAAAAAAGCAGAGAAAGAGCAACGAAAGAGTAGTGTTGTTTGAATATGTCCTCTGTAAGAAGCTTACTATTTCCAATACAGTAATCATTCATATGTCAAATAGTTGAATGGCGTGGGGTTACATACAAGGAAACTTGAACTCTTTGCATGATTTACTGACTCCATAACTGCTGCTACCAAAAGAAAAAGAAATAAAAAAAGGTCCCTTTTTTAGGCCTTAAATGTGTAGGAAGTCTTTTTGTTACTTTCTCTTTAATTTGTTTTATTTTTCATTGTGCTGATGTTGAGAGATTTTGCTTTTGTGATTTTGTGCAGCTTTATATGCAGCCNTATGCAACTACAAACAGACCTGCTGCAACTCTGGAGATGTTCCCTTCTTGGCCTACGAGATTCCATCACACCCCAAGGGTACATCTACCAAAAATTAATTCATCTTGCCCATTTTTACTATTATAGCTTCAACTTTTATCCATAATAGGAAACTCTTTTTTAACTTCTACAGTATTTCTCAATAAACTTGTTGAGTTTTTACTTTAGTTGATTTTGGAAGGTTGGTAATGGAGCTTCTGAGATTTTCAAAGCTAGCTTAAGTTATACAGCCTCAAACTGTAATATGTTTTTACTATATTAGTGTAGTTTGGCGAAGCTACTGGTCAATTGACTACTTTATCGAAAAATTATATTATGTATATAAATAAAAAATTTAGAGATATATACATATATTGACACCCTTTATTGAATTTTTCTTTTGCTTCTTTTAAATTTGAACACCCTTGGAAAATTCTAGTTTCACCACTCATTAGTTCTTATTAAGTTACTAATGAGCATTTATTATATTGATAAATGACATGATTGTTTGAAATTTTTTTTAATTGCCGGTGCATAAAACTTAAACTAGTTTTTGCATACAGGGAAGCTCAAAATCAGGAGAAGAGAGTAGTGATTCAGGTTCAGCACTAAACACTTTTTCAAGCAGAGGTGAACCTCATTTGGAACCAGAATCTCCTGTCAGTGGAAAACCATCTTCAGATTACCAGTCCCTTGAACAGAATCAGCAGCAAATTCAGATACCACAACAACAACTTCAAGAAATGGCAAGTGATAGTCCAAGAACAATAGTGTCACATATTGAGCCAGCTTCAAAACCCAACTATGAAAAGGTTATCTTTTTTCCTTCACAATGAGAAATAGGAAAATAGGTGGCATTTTCACTGTTTTATATAGGTACAAAAAACAATCACAAATCCCAACTGCCAAGAAAATAAAATAAAGGCTGAGTTTTCTGGTCTCTTATTTGATTTTCTAATTTATATTCTGACAAGAGATAAGGGAAAAAGAGTATCTTTACAGTAACAATATTATTTGTTCTTTATCCTTTTTAAAAAAAAAAACAAATGGTTTTTTAATGACTAACTTTTAGAACTGTAGTTCAAGTTTTAGTTCATAATGTTCTTCTTCTATCCCCCAAAACTGTAGTTAACTCCTTGTCCTTTAATCTTTGTTGGGAGTAGAGAAACCAAATCCAGAAGAATGCCAGGTGATTTAATGGATTTGCTCATGTTAACATCATCAGATATATACTCACTATTTTATTCTTTTCCGGAAATAAAATATAATATATGCCTACAGTCTAAACAGTGTTTATATAATTACAAATTGATTTTAGTCAAATATCATAAAGTCTTCCAAAAGATACCTGCCATTTTTGACACGTTATACCTCTTATTTAATTTCTAAGAATATAAAAAAGGTGACACAAAATGAAGATTAGGAGAAAAATTCTAACTTCACGTAATTACAAATTTTTTTTGAAGATGTTTACTTTTCAGGTTAATCAACTACATTAATTTAAATATAATATTTTTAACTTATATTTTTGCAGAGAAAGGGTGCTGGTTCAACCTCAGATAGGGTGGTTGACGCTAAGGTGGTGCCCCCATTTTTAATTTATCTTGTTCCTTCAGTGGGCCCTTTATTATGTTATAATTAAAAAATTTATTTTAATATTTTAATCTAATTGTTTAATAGATTTCTTAGAATAAGTTTTGTTAATATTGTTCACTGCAGACTTTGAGACGTTTAGCTCAAAATAGAGAAGCAGCAAGGAAGAGTAGACTAAGAAAAAAGGTATAAAAAAAAAATACTCTTTTCTTTCAGCTGTGAAATCTGAAGCTCCTCTGTGTTTTTTTTTATTGTATATTTTACATAGTTAAATTTGAGTATGTGCAGGCTTATGTACAACAGCTAGAAACAAGTAGGATAAGACTTGCTCAGCTAGAACAAGAACTTCAGAGGGCGAGATCTCAGGTTGAAAATGACTCACTCTTTTCTTTACTTTATTTGGATGTATGACAAAAATTATCAAAATATTTTATTAAATTACTTTCTCGTCTTACTAAACATATCCTAAATTCAAATGGGATTTTTATTAATAGATTTTTCGTGTTAATTGGTTGTGTCAACCAGGGGCTTTTCATGGGAGGTGGTGCTGCTGCTGGTGCCAACATCAGCTCTGGTAAAGTTCGATATTTTTTCAAGGGGTGGCCAATTATTTTTGGGCTATATTTAGGGGTGGGGAAAGTATAAAAAAAATGTAATAACATTTTAAAAAAAGAAAGGTACTAACTCTTTTTTCTATATTATAATTTTTGGTGAGTGGAGTGAGTATACGGTAGATATTGTGTTATTATTAATGCTACAAAACGACGAGATGAAATTGGTCAATCTTGATAGTGACGTCTAAGATAAAAGTTTTTACAGTTTTGACAATAGGCATTAGGCAGCACCCAAAATCTGAATTTTCAGAACTGTAAGCTTTAGTCAATAGAGCCATTTTTTCAGGTCAAAGCTTGTAATTCTTGGTTTCTGAATTGGACTGAAGAAAAAAGTACTCCGCATTTGACCATAGCAAATTATCTGTTTTAAGTTATAATAACGTGTCAAAATCTATTACTACATTTGTTTCAAAATTGTTAAAGCCTCAACGTCAGACGAAACATGTCCCAATATCAGCTAAATTTTGCAAAAATAACATAGTTTCAATCCTGAGCTTGTTCGTCTTACTTTTTCAATGCTTTTGCAATAGTTACATGCTAACAAAACGGATTTTTTTTAAAAAACATTAAAATGACCAAGACACATATGAAAAGTACCAAAATTATCATTTTAAATTGAATGTGTTGAGAGTTACACATGCCTTTTAAATTTCTCTTTCTTTATAAAAGAATGAATATTTCTATTGGATCCTAATAAATTAAGCGTAAAATAAGGATGTTAAGATTAAATAATTTTTAGAAATAGAATGTTATTTTTTAAGACAAACTATAAAGAAAAGTATTACATAAAATGAGATAAATTAGCACTATATGATAAGGGTAAATTTGACATTAGACTTGACGCTACAGAGAAAGCGTCGCTTTCGTGTAACATGTCATGGTCTCAACGCTTTCGTTTGATGAGTTTCACGCATTCTAAGCCCGGTTCGCGCGCGATTAGGAAGATTGGCCGCAATCTGGTTTATTCAGGGGAGAGATTGAGCTTCAAAAAATAGTAAATGGTCTTATCAATACACAAATGTATAACTCCCCAAGAATTTCAATTGCGCTCATATTCATCACGGTAGGAATTGGGTTCAAGCTTTCCCCCGCCCCTTTTCATCAATGGACTCCTAACGTATACGGAGTGTGATGGCATCTTAGTATTTGCATGCTAATATACAATGCGCGGGACAATATTTTTGTTTCTTAAAATAACTATAGTGACAAAGAAGTATCTATATATAGCAGGTGCTGCAATATTTGACATGGAATATTCAAGATGGTTAGATGATGATCAAAGGCACATTTCTGAGCTTAGAACTGCATTGCAAGCACATTTAGGAGATGGCGATCTTAGAATAATTGTTGATGGATATATTGCTCATTACGATGAAATTTTCCTACTAAAAGGAGTTGCAGCTAAATCTGATGTATTTCATCTCATCACTGGAATGTGGACTACCCCAGCTGAACGCTGCTTCCTTTGGATGGGTGGTTTTAGGCCTTCTGAGTTGATCAAGGTAAGGATTTCAGTATTTAATGCTTAAGATGGAGGAAGTTTTATATATCGATTGAACATATATATACGATGGAAGTATTAAAAAAAATACGTTATTAGTGTAATTGCATAGGAGTATATCGTAGCAGAACTGGTAAAGTTACTGAGGAGTTCACGGGTTCGAGCCGTGAAAACAGTTTCTTGCAAAAATACAAGGTAATGCCACGTATAATAGACCTTTGTAATCCGACCCTTCTCCCGGACCACGCGCATAATAGGAGCTTAGAGTACCGGGCTACCCTTTTTTTTATATTGTAGCAGACAGTTTGCCTTATCTTCAAGGTTACTACTCGTCTTTTATGACAATTGTTTCGTGCAATTATATTATAAATAACTTGATAGTGTAGAAATTCTTACAAACTGTCAGTATATTAAAATTATACTCTTTGTGTATGGGGTTAATTATCATTTTCAATTACGGGAACGGTGTAACTCATATGTTCTGATAATATATAAAAAAAAATTATGACTATTACTAATTTCACTTATTATGATAATTTTTTATAATTATCTTATAAATGACTTGATTGTGTCAAAAAACATTGTATCGTAAGTATATAGAAGTTTGGAAAACCAAATTTGCTCTGCTGCGGCTAGATCTGATATTTGTTGCAAGCTAAAGAAATGATCTTTTATCAGATGTTGATAACACAATTGGACCCGTTAACGCAGCAGCAAGTTGTTGGAATTTATAGTCTGCAGCAATCATCGCAACAAGCAGAAGAAGCACTTTCACAGGGTTTGGAACAATTACAACAATCTTTAATTGAAACTGTTGCTACTGGTTCTCTCAATGATGGTATGCATCATATGGCTGTTGCCTTAGGCAAGCTTGCCAATCTCGAAGGCTTCGTTCGCCAGGTAAAATTATTTACATGATTTTATAGATCATAAATTACAAACGTCTTTTTTTTTTAAAACTTTGTGCTCAATTAAACACCATTACATAAAACCAAACGTAGTAATATGGGATTATCAAAAGTATAAACTGTCTTGGCTGTGTTAGTGTGCTGTCCTAATATGAAGCCCATAATCCACTCTGTCATATGGTCTTTTAGTTTCACTGTCATTACAAAAGTTTGTATAAAACTGATAAGGTAATATTCTAATATACACTTTTTTGTAGCCTTTTAGCAATTTATAAAGCAATGTACAAAAGTGGTATGAAATAATAACCATCCACCTAATTAAACAGATGAAAGGCAATTTTCTTATAAATTCGTAAGCTTTCTCTCTTTTTATCACCTTGGTCTCCCACTAGAAAGTTTAAACTTTATAACTTAGATTTTGTTATGCCATTGTCCATTCTTATTGAGGTATTTTTGTGCCTGATTTGATGGGGAAAAGAAGATGCTTTTGTCAGCGTGGGTAAGAAAAAAAGAAATTAAGATGAAGAAAAAGACTAGGACAAGACATTGTTTTCTCTTTTAATCCTCTTTTTGGGTTATAGATATCATTACTTTAAAATCTTTTCACTTTACTTTCTTCATACAATGACTAAAGATTCCAAAAGTACTTTGTAGGCAGTCATATCAATGAACAATTTGTGGTATATATATATATATATATATATATATAAAACGTTGGGATAATACATAATTACTAATTGGGGTTGAATCAAAATTTTAGTTGCACCCCTTAAAATAAAAAATATGGGTGTCCTATGACCCCAAATTGCTCGTGAAAGTCCTAAAATTTTAATTTTTTTTCCTTTTCTCTTTCTTCTTTTCTTGTATTCTGTTTCTGGTTTACTTCTCCCTTAAAACTGCATCCACAATTTTCACACCCCCTCCCCCCTAGCTTTTTCCCTTTTCATTTCTTTTCTTTTTTTTACTTTTTTTTTCTATCCTTTATTTATTAATGCCTTGACTTTTATCTTTTTTTTTTCGTTTCTTTTTCATTTTTACATTTGTCTTCTTTCTCGCAGTATTTCGCCGGATAAGTTTGATGATTCCGATGAGAAGCAAATTTTATTTTACAATCATGCTTTTTTTCTTTTCATTTTACTTTTTTTTTCCTTCGATATTTTTCTTTCTTTTTCTCGTTTTTTTTCTTTACAATGTTTCTCACCGGAAAAAATGGTGATTCCGGCAACATCATCTTTCTGCCAATTTATCTCTGTCATTTATTGTCCTGTTCCTCAAAATTTTAGAAAATCATTTTTACGCTATTCAAAGGGCCTCACAAATTTTATCTTGTCTATTATCTCCGACAACCTTTTAAGGTAAGAGTTTTTCGGTGGGTGAGGTAGGGCAGGCAAGGGGGGGAGGAG